GTCATAATTTTGCACCCAACATAGCGTCCATTCATTTAAGTTTAGCCTGTACATATAAAAGGATTTCCTTGTAAAATTTTTATAAAAAATTATACTTTTGACAATAAATCTTTTCCAATATCTGCTTTGAATTGTAGATTTAGTGACTAGTAAGGGAACTCTGTTTTTCTCTGTTTTATCTTACATAGCTTCATTATTTAAGACAAATTCTATTCACAGCTTTTGTTTTTCCACCTACGAATTTTTAATTTGCCTGCTTTTTCTCTCATAACCTTCTATTATTGAGTAAACATGTCTAAGTAACAATTTTGCTGTCTGGTCTGTAGTGGACAGGCAAAACGGCAAAGTCGCGCCTCTCGCTAGTGCCAGCACCTGCGCCTAGCGACAGCCTGCTATGGCACGCACGTCTTCCCGGCTTCGATATGTCTCGTTGCAATTCACTGTCTGCACCACGCATTCGGTCGGTTCTCTGCCTGCAGTACGCGAGGTTTGCCACTACCTTCGCGTGGGCTCGGAGCCAATCAACGCAATTTTCTATCGCTGATTGGTTACAAGTGCACACACGGGACGTCGCCCTTGCGGACGTGATTTTGGAACAGACAGCACAGAGGCAAGAAGGCCACAACACTTTTGCAGCGGCGACCTTCGGCGACACAGGGCTCGTCGCTCTCGCGGACGCCGCCTCCGCAGCACCGGACGCATCCTCGTCCGGTTGCCAACTTTTCCCTTCACCGTCCTGTAGAGAATAAAGTGTCCTAACCAAATGGCGTCCTACTTCTAGCAACTTGGGATATGGCCTGAAGTTGCAGCGTACTGAGTGTACACCATCACCGCTTAGCCGCTACAGGTCTACCAATATTGATATCTTGCAGAAATTGTTTTATCATGCATAACCTCATCCTTATATCCTCAAAATTTCGGCAGCTATCATTCCTATAAATTTGGGTTAAACTCTTGTTCTGTCTTTTCGACATGAAACCTCAGGCAACACTTCGTCGAAATCTGAAGGAAGCGAAGCTCCCAGATTCTTATTGGAATCCCATTTTTGATTTGAAAAAAATAGACCTAGGAACGCTTGTTTGTTCTTCCCCCAGTCCGCAGCGACCCTAGTTCTATCTAGCTCTTCAACTGAGCACATTATCGTTGAGTTATTTGAAACCAGCCACGTTAAAGCGCCTCCAGTAACCAAGAATGCTCAAATGCTGCCCCAAAATTTACTATGGCGCTTTATCTTAACAGTAAAGATGGATCAGTCCTAGAAGCACAACCCACCTTCACCACTCAGAATACTGAATTAGTTAATAAATCTGGGTCAAATCCATCCCGTTCCCGCGCCGGGCCACTCACGTTTGACATAGCGGTAAGATCAAATTGGACAGATAATAGTCCAGGAAGATCTTTACCTGTCCCTATCCCTAATTCTCAACTTAACGAAAATACCCCAGTTGTGAAGCCCACTTACATACCAGCCTGCAGAATGCAAGTATACAATGTTGCTGATGATTTTTCCTATCCCACTGCTTGCCGGGAACCCCAAATAATAAAACCTTCTCATAGTGTAGGCTGTTTCTCGAAACTATTTTGTCCGTCATCTAGAATAAATTACCCCTCATATTATGCCCAAAATTCACAAAATCCTATTTTTATGCCTACTATCTCTCCAACCCCACGAAATAGCGTTCCACTTCATGGGTCACGCTTAAATGTGATTCCATACAATGTCGTATTTTTACTTATTGTTAATATCCCTGCAAATTTAAAAAAAAAACAAATTAGTTTCCACCCATTACTTCTTCTAAACTGCTTAATTTTCCACCACCTACAAAAGATGTCACAACAAAGAAGTGTGGCCTTTGAGTTTGACCCAGATGTATTGTGCATTACAGAATCTTGAGCTCACTCCCTAATTTCCGACTCGGCACTCAATAGAGATAGCCTTAGTTTATACCGCCAGGATCGTTTTGAAAGATGCGGCGGTTGTTGCCTTCTTTACATCAGAGCCTAACTTGCACAATTGCCTTATGACCTGACATTTCCTCCTTCTCCGGAGATTGATTTTTTGCTTCGATAATCCTTTCGCAAAATAGGAAAGCCTTAGTCGGATGTGTATATAATCCTCCTTCTTACTCCGGACATGAAAGCGAACTCTGTGAACTGTCTGAAAAAATTGCAGAGATTTCTTTCGATGTCAAGATGATCGTAGGAGATTTTAATTTACCAGAAATAGACTGGCACACACATACTTCTTCTCCTAAACTCCAGAAGCTTCTAGACATCATCCCCTTTTCGAACTTGTTTCAATCAGTCAATTCTTCGACCAGGACGATAGTGCAATAGATTTAATTTTTACTAATGGCATCTTCCATCTATCTATGGATTTCCATCTTGACCTTTTTGGAAGTGATCGTGAATTAATTCATTGTCGTCCTCCAGTTGCCATTTCCGCGATGCCAACTTTAACACGTAGCTCTGACTATGCTGATTTTAGCAGGAAAGTAGCTAGTGAATTTGCAAGCACCCTTGATTGGCACAATAGTTTTTCAAATAGTGATGCAGATTTTTTCAACAGTTTACTACAGTGCGTAACGGAGGGTCTTCTCGACTCTATTACACAGAGGACGTTTATATTGAGTGCCACTTGCCCCACTGTCCCGTATTTTCTCAAAAGCAAGCTTAAAACACTACGGAAGCAGCTAAAAGATCCTTCCGTAGGCTCATTATCAGCTCACCTAGGAATCGTTGAGATATTTGAATGAACATCGAAAATGTGGCTCGAGAAAGATAGGCGTACAGAGTCTTCAGCTATAAATTACGTGAATGCTTTTAAATCTGTTGTTCAGGTCTTCTGTCAAGGATCACCTGCTAAGTTCCACCAAGTCATTCCAACCTTGCTAAGTGCCAACGATACCTTCACTACAGGGGTACCAGGCAAAGCAGAAATGTTAAATTCATTCTTAGCCAAACAATTCACCATTGAAACTGACCGGATCCCTTCGATTTTCCCACCCGAGGCTCAAGCATACTTGACCTAATTTTCTGTAGAGGCTGCATGCCATCGTCAGTGTCATTCTTAGGCCCAGTGGGGGGCTCAGACGATGACATATTTGTTTCAGCGTTGGAATTCGAGGCTGACGAAACGTCTTCCCAAAGTATAAATTTTTCCGCGATTCCGATCAAATCGCTCAACCTAATTACAAACACACCTTAATTCCTACGACTGGACTGATTTCTTCTTTAGTTCGGATGTGAATGTTTGCACTGCAAATCTGTACGAAATTATGGATCCGCTTATTTCTCTTTTTGTCCCCCGTAAGAAAATTATTAATGTTGGGGATGAGGTTTTCCTACCCTTACCCCTTCGTCGCAGATTGCGCAGGCTTTATTGTCGTTTCCATCTTCAGAACGATGTTTCTGTCCTGCCCTTGATTCGTGATATTTTTGATCGAGCTAAGAGATTGTCTGAAGAAAAACAGCTAGCCGAAGAGGTCCAGTTTACCGAAAACCATTCGTTAAATGTCTCGAAACTTTTATCTAAAAAAATACGAACTCACCGAAAGACGCAGCATCCCATCCTCTGAGACGCTCTCGGAAATCCCATACTTGATGCCCAGTTAACCGCTGATAGCTTTAGTGATTTCCTGTCCAAAACGTTCATTGAAGATTCGACCATTCCGCTTCCGACCATTCAACCATTGACCGGCGCAGTTCTAGAAACTATATCTTTCACTCTGTGGGATGTGACTGCTGCGATTCGGCGTTTTCGTCAATCTTATATTCCAGGCCCTGATGGTGTCCCAGTAAGCATTTTAAAAGCCGATGCAAATACGATTTTCCCATCCTTCTTATGCAAGACATTTAATCTTGCTCTTGAAAGTGAAACTTATCCTACCTTGTGGAAGGAATCACACATTTTGTCCATTCCTAAGCACGGCAAATCTACATCATTTGATGATGTTCGGCCAATAAACACCCTCCCCGCAGTTTCGAAGATCTTAGAGACATTGCTCAAAGAGAAGATGATGTGTCACTTAACTGTGAATAACTTACTGAGTGTTGCTCAGCATCGATTTCTCAAAGCTCGATCTTGTGACACCTGTCAACTCTCTTTCTTTGACTATGTTCTCCAATCTAGGGACAATGGTTTTGCACTTTACACAGTATATTTCGATTTCACTAAGGCTTTTGATCGTTTTGACCATGCTCTTCTTCTCTTGAAACTGTCCTCTATCGGAATAAGTGGCAAACTTTCGAATTTTATATCCTCTTACCTGGGCACTCGTACACAACGAGTTAAGATTTCCAATGCTATCTCCAACCCCACACGTATGAGGAGTGGCGTCATTCAGGGTAGTGTGCTCGGCCCACTTCTATTTTGCCTTTTCGTTAATGATGTACCCGATTTATTTCAGAATGATAAGCCTTTCATGTGTAGCAGCTGCTCCAGTCCCCCTTTTCTCCGGCTCCGTTTTGTCGGTCGATGACCGCGATAAGCGCTGACAGGCCGCTGACGCACGACCACCCCCGCCGGCTAGAACTGGGACACCTCCGGTCCTGCTGCAGTGAACCCCGGCTGCACTCAAAACCTAGTATCGCCTAACGCGCGTCGAACGCTTTGGCTTGATTCCCGTGAGGCCTTGTGAGTATGCGCCCTCCATTCGTCCCCTAATTAGTCCAATCACACGACCACCACGCAGACAGTCACCCCCTCCTGCTAGCTTAGACACACACTCTCGCGTTAACAAGACACACCGCGACTGACGCTCTCTGCGAACGGACGCTTTTCTCTGTTGCAAGCAAACCGCCAACTTACGGCAACCTGCCCTGTGTACAGAATAAACTAGTCCTCACAGCTCCCTGCCTTCTGACAGTAGACGAAGCGAACTTATTGTGCGTGGTTTAAGTTGATCTCACATCCTTGACCGCCACAAACTGGTGACCCCGAATTTCCGAACACGGGAGTTTATTGAGCGTCTGTCAGTCCCCCGTTCATCTCCTCCACCATGTCCGGCGACGAGACGTCAGTGCCCGTTCCCTCTACATCGCACGTCGCCGTTAAACTTCCAACCTTTTGGCCACGAAATGTCGAGCTTTGGATTGCACGTTGCGAAGCTGAATTCGAAGCATGCAACATCACTCGTCAAGAGACCATGTTTAATCACTTGCAGCGTTGTCTTCCTGACGAGTATGCGGAGGAACTCTGCGACCTCCTCATCCACCGCCCTGTAGAACAACCTTACGACAAGTTGAAAGAGGCTCTGGTAAAGCGCGTAGCCATGACAGAGGAGCGCCGACTAAGACAACTTCTCACTGACGAAGAGCTCGGGGACCGAAAACCTTCTCAACTACTGAGAAGAATGCAGCAGCTTGTTGGCGAACGCAAGTTCGAAACCTCCATCCTTCGCCAACTTTTCCTTCAGCGCCTCCCACTCGACGTCCAGACAGTGTTGGCTGTTTCTCAAGGAAGCATGGAAGAATTGGCAGAGCTTGCTGACAAGGTTATGGCATTGAGAGTCGCAGAGACTCATTCAGTAAGTCACACCGCCAACTCTATTTCTCATGAATATGATCAGCGCCTTGATCGACTCGAGCAATTGGTCATGAAACTGACAACTCAACTCAGTGCAGTTGCTTCAGGAGATCCGAGACGATCACGAGACCGTCGACGGAGTTCCTCACGTTCCTGTAATCGTCGCCAGCAGTCTTCAAGTGGAATGTGCTGGTATCACCAGAATTTTGGACAAGCAGCACGACGATGTCTGCCGCCATGTTCATTTAAGCCACCTCTCAAGGCCTCGGGAAACGATCCCGCCCGGCAGTAGCGGCGAATACTGCCGGGGGCGCTTCCAATGTTCACACTCGCCGTTTGTTTCTCTGGGACCGTATCGCTGGCGCCAAATTCCTTGTCGACTCTGGTGCCGAGGTTAGCGTGGTTCCACCAACTCCGGCCGAACGCAAACACCGCAGCTCTTTTTGTCTTACAGCTGCCAACAACTCCAGTATCCCCACTTTTGGACAGCGCTCCATCACACTTGATTTGGGCCTTCGTCGGATTTTCCGATGGGTTTTCATTATTGCCGACGTTTCCGTCGCCCTCATAGGCGCCGATTTCCTAGCTCACTTCAATCTTCTAGTTGATTTGAAGAATCGCCGACTCGTCGACTGCAGCACCAACCTTCATGCCCGTTGTCAACCCGATGTGAACCCCTGCGTTAGCCCTCTTACTGTTATGCCCATTTCTGACTGTCCTTTCCACTCACTCCTCAGGCAGTTTCCCCGTCTGACCAACCCCTCATTTCGAGAAGTGGACATCAAGCACACAGTCACCCACCATATTTCCACCACCGGACCCCCCANTGTTGCAAGCAAACCGCCAACTTACGGCAACCTGCCCTGTGTACAGAATAAACTAGTCCTCACAGCTCCCTGCCTTCTGACAGTAGACGAAGCGAACTTATTGTGCGTGGTTTAAGTTGATCTCACATCCTTGACCGCCACACATGTATGCCGATGATCTTAAAGTTGCATATCGATATAAGCCGGCAGATCATGACATCGTGCTCGAGTTCCTTAAGAGCGATCTACAGGCTTTCGCCCAGTGGTGCCGCACATGGCGCCTTTCTCTTTCATGGCATAAGTGCTCAGTCATGGTGGTTGACGACGACCGCCAACTTCAACTAAGTATTGACGGTCACGCCATAAATGTGCCTGGGGCAATTAAGGATCTGGGCGTATCATACTCCAAGAGTCTCAATCTCTCGCAGCACTGTGCCTTGATAGTCTCCAAAGCACGCAGAACGACCGGGTTTATCCTCCGAAACTTTAAAACTAGGGACATTAGAATGCGCCTTTACAACATGTACGTTAGACCTGACCTGGAATACTGTTCGTTTTTATTTAGCCTCATGCGTGCTACTGAGCGGAAGAAAGTAGAATCCGTTCAAAACTTTTTACCAAGATAATTTTAACCCCAGAATACCGACATTTGTCTTACCAAGAACGTTGCCGGCTTACGGGCCTTGATCCTTTATGGTTCCGTAGATTACAAAAGGGACTGTTTTTGCAATTTAAACTCCTATATAATCGCACATTTCACCCACTCACCTCTTTAAGACATCATATCCACCCACGACGTAACAGTCACCGTGAGATCTTTTTATTTCTTCCTCTGGCATGTACTGTTAAATATCGTCGGTTCTATTCTGTAAATGCAATTGCTATTTGGAATAAACTACCCATGAGTGTGAAAACTGCAAAATTATCCTTTATTTAAGAGACCTATTACTCGATTTTTGCATTCAGAAAATCTCATACAAATTTTGGATGCTGAATCCACTGATCGACTCTACCATAGCGATGGCGTTTGTGGTCTCTGAGCACTGTGGCCGGTCTCACCAGCTGTTCCTCAACGCCTCTACTATGACTATCCCCAACTTTGTGAAAGGAATTGACGTCTGATAATCTCCGATACCGTGCAACCTCTTTTGTTCTTGCCGTACATAAATGATATCTCATCGGCAGTTAAATGTTCTCAATCCTCTATTCATGCTGATGATCTTGAATGTGTATATTTATTTAAAAAAATGCACGAAACTTCATTGTCTGGAGCAAATCGATGCTGGCATGCCTTTTTTCTCAGCATGGAGTTCAACATGGCTAGTGGAATTCTCTCTGTTTAAATGTCACCATACCTGTTTTGGACCAGTTGTCTTCCAAGGCACACCCTATGACTGGATGCACCACCATCAACGATTTAGGTTTGAGCTACACCAATAATCTTGATCTCTTACCATACGCTGACAGAATTACGGCAAAAGGTGCTCAGATTTGTGACTTTATTTCTTCCAATTTCTATCTTCCTGAAATTAAATTAAGAATTTATCTAATGTTTTTGTTTGTCATTCTCGGATATTATTGCCCATTCTTTAGTTTGATGAACGAGGCTAGTCGTTAAAAAATTGAAAATGTTCAAGGACATTTAAATAGAAGACTCTGAGGTACGGAACATCCACATATTTCCTACTCATATAGATGGCAGATAACTAACCTAAAACGTTTATGAGTTAGAAGACAAGAAGCAGGCTTCCGTCTCCTTTTTCGCATAAATAATAGTTCAAATATTCCTCCTGTTTCAGCCACTGCACATAGTAGTCGCCCATACAATCTTCGCAATTCTGCCTTGATTATATCTCCTCCCGCCTCCTCCGCTTTTAAGCGCTCTCTTTTTTTCGTTTGCAGGTATGCTTTACTTTGGAATAACCTTCCAATAAATATAAGATCTTCAAATAATCTACATACTTTTAAGAGAAGGCTGCGTCTTTATCCGAAAAATGACTCAATTAAACTTTTATTTTCCTCAACTTTCTCTACGACACTGAGAAAGGACCACCGGGAATTTAGGGCGTCACCATTAAATTTCCGTATTCGCTCACGTTTCCTTTTTGTGTTTAATTTCGCTTTCTAGGGTCAGAAATTTTAAGTTTTCGATTTTTTAGTTCATGCATCGTGGCCTCACAGAATGCGATACTCTTCTTGACAAATTCTCTCAAGGAAATAACTTGGCCAGTTTGTGCCCGCTCTTAGCCGCCTCAGTTTCGCTTATCACCGACACATCAGAATTCCACTGTGGCCTCCGCGATTTCGAATCTTCATCCCCAAACGTTGATTTTTGCGGTTCTGGAGGTCATCTCCTCATTTCGACCCCAAGCGGTCTGTCGATGCTTTTGGCGAAACCCTCTGTATTCGCCATCTACTCGCTTTTTATCCTTTCATGAACGACAGTTTTCTTTTCTCATAATGTTAATCCAGTCATATTCACTTTGTTTATTCGGTCATAGAGTTTTTTCCCTGCCAGCTCATCATCCTTCGCAACAGACTACTTATTCAATAACTGTGAATTAATTTTTGTATAGATTTTGTCTACCTGTTCTAAAATTCATATAAAATTTTATTTTTACTTGCTGTTACAGGACCTCCACGGGTCTTGAATATAAATTATTTATTTAAAGAAAGTGGATTAATGGTGCAATAGTATAGTTGTTGAACTGTACCACCGCCTTTAAAAACAAAATCTCCCTCCGACTCCGTCTAGCTCAAGGCAGCATTTTGTGAGAAGTACATAAATTATTGCTGAGACATAAGTTATATTCTCCGGACGTTTCGGACGTTCAATTGAAGAGTCATTAAATACAGCAACAGACGAAAGCAAAGGCGTACGGTTGTTATGCCAACACATACTTGTCCCGATGGCTGTTACAGAGACGGGAATTACGGTCTAAAACGAAAAGGACACGCGACCACGCGCGTCGCGATAGGCCAAGCCGACCGAGAAATACGGGCGTGAAACCAGCCGGCCAACTACCGTGCACTGTTGTACCGAATACGCATGAAGCCCTCGCTCACGCACGCGGTTCAAATATTCGAGAGAATTCTGCGGAGGACTCCGAGAGCGAGAAATACCCTATCAGTATGCAACATGCCACGGGCCAGAATATTCCAGAACGCCTACGGTCAACGCGCGCAGCACGATTTTGAAAAGATAAGTGAAAGTTATATTTTTGGATCCAATTTCTTAATCCCTTGCACAGTTTTCCAGTGTAGACCTGACAAAATTTTCTATTTTTTGTCATAAGTCTTCTTCGCTTCCTGTCGTGTTTCTGTGATTTGTCATAAAGCAGAAATCTATTGTCGCAGTTTTTCACCCAACATAGCCTCAATCCTATCAAGTCTTACCTGCATATACAAAAGGTTTTCCTAGTAAAAATATAGATTAACATTATATTTTAAACGATAAACCGTCTCCACTGACGGCTTTCATCGTCAGTTTATTGAGAATTATACTGTTATTTATTTTATCCTACATAGCCTCATTATCCAATTCAGATTTATTCATAGTTCTGTTTTGCCACCTACGAAATTGTCATTTGCCCGTTTTTTTTTCAAGTTTGCATTCTGGTATTGAGTAAAACTTGCTTAGTATAAATTGTGCTGTCTGGTCCACCAATATTGGCAGCTTTCAGAAATCGTTTCATCATACATAGCCTCATCCATATATCCTCGAAGTTTCGGCAGTTATCATCCATATAAATATTTGGACTTAAGTCTTGTATTGCGTTTTCGGCATGAAACCTCAAGCAACCCTTCGTCGAAATCTGAAGGAAACTAAACTTCATCTGAACCCCATTGTTCATATGAAAAAAATTGATCTAGGGGCGCCTGATGATTTTAACAACTTTATGTCTCGTTGCGGATCAATTTTTTCTGTCCTTGGTGCCCTTCTTGACGGAAATTTGCCAAGGCTTACGTCTCAGCAGTGTGAGAAGCTCATGCCTCTCATTAACCTGGTTGCGACTGAGACTGAAGACAGGCACAAACGAAGTTTCAACTTTATATTAAAAAACGATCCTAAGAGTAGACAGCCAATAGATGTCGCCTTTCATTTCCTTTTTTCATGCGGCTTCAACTTTAGGGTCGCGGAAGCTAAAAGACTTTCATCTAGGAGCAAGAAACTACCAATTCTTGTCAAACTCTTTTCATCGATAGAAGTTGATTTTATTTTCTCCCATTTGGAGCGCTCGACTCAATATCTCATTGCAAATAAACTTTTTATTAGTCGAGACCAAACTCCCCTGCAACGAAAAGTTTCTCCCCCATTACCAAACGTAAAGCCACCCCCGAATTCTACTCAAATGCCTTTTTCCTCTAAAGCAGTTTCTCCATCTGGTGTCGACCAAATCCCCCACTGTCTACAGCGGCCCCAGTTCCATCTAGGTCTTCGACTGATCAGATTATTACAGAGACGGTTAAAACTAGCCTCTTTAAA